AATTCTGCCCCTCTTCCTGGAAGTCAGGGGTAAGAATGATGGGGTTGGCTGTCTGATGCAGCCACTTCTTCCCAGGAGAGAAACGGGAAGGAGACAGGAGGGAAGGATGGGGGGGAGAACAAGGGAGGAGGGGTAATGGCTTAGCCACTAATTGCACCATTACCACCTTCAGAAAAAGGAAAAACCACTCAGGTTTTTTTGTGTTTTTTTTTTCTGTGCACAATATGTTTCCCGCTTCTGCCGCCAACGTTGCAATTCAGAGGCAAAGAAGAGAGGCCTGTGCTTGGGGCGCACAGCCAGTGGGCAGCTGGCAAGGCAAGGAACATGCTAGAGGCTAGAGGCGTAAATGGAGAAGTGGGGGAAGGGCTGTACCACCACCTCCTTGCCCCAGACCCTCTAGCCTGTCCCCAGGAGGGGCTGGTTTCCACACATGAAAGTGCTGGAACAGCCCTTGATGACCACCCCAGTCATTGTCCAGGAGAGAGTAGAGGCAGTGTGGTGCAGTGAGTGGTTAGAGCGACTCCACGACCTATGAGCTGTGGGATATTGAATAAGTATCCTAAATTCTCTGCACCTGTGTTTCTCCATCTGCAAAGTAGTGTTAATAATATTCCCTACCTCCAGGGCTGTCCTGTGGATTAAATGAGATGAGCACAGTGGCTGACACACTGTAAAAGCTCAGTAGATAAGAAACCATTAGGATCACAGGACTCAAAAGGCCCTCCCCCTTCACACTGGTCTCTCTGCACCATGGAAGCACACACCACCATCTTCAAGGCCCAGAACTTTGAGGTGTCGTTCTCTGAGTTCCCACTGAAGTCGAGCTCATGATTTGAACATCACCTTGTCCAAGCCTGGTTTGCAGCAATTCCTATAGAACAAAGGACTGAGGCTAGAAGAAGAGGCGTCACAAGGCCTGAGGCTATATTAATGGGAATATAATGTTCTGAAAAAAGGAGGGGATAGTGCTACTTGGCTTGGTGCTGGCCTGACCACCTTGTTTCCTCCCCCTCTCCTTCTCCCATGAAATAGGGCATGTTAGGAAGAGAGCAGAGCACGTGAGGGGAGCTCCCCCCGTCATCACAGGAAGAGCCAGCAGTGACTCAGAGGGGAATGTGAAGGGACTGAGGCATAGACGGCCAGCTTTCTCTCTGCCTCTGACAGGAACCATGGAGTTGAGCTATGTGGCTTCAGTGGGCAGACCAACTCAGCCCCAACCCACCCGTCCCTGCTGTTACCTTGCCCATCCATTCTTCCCAACTTCCGTCTCCCTTTTCAGCCCTCCTTTTTTCTTTTTCTCACCTTTCCCCCATTTTCTTCCTTCCTTCCCTTGAGCCCTTCCTTCTCAGTGTTCCCTCTCCTTCCCATTCCTTTTCACCTCTTTTCTTGTTTCTGCCTCCCTTCCTTTCTGTCACTCTTCTCATCCTCCCAGTGCTGGCCCAAACCCTGTGCAAATGTACTGCAGAATGAGCAAACCTAGGCTGCAGTATCCTGATGGTGGAGAGATGGCTAGAGAGGAGGGGATGGAGGAAGAGAAAGAAGAAAAGGAAAAGGTCTCCTTGGCAACACACACACACACCTCCAAACCCTCAAGAGCCTGGTGCAGGGGTGTGGGCACTGCCTTGGACCGCACTCCCACCCTGAGTGTAACTGCCACCCTGCCGAGAAGCACTGGTAATTCACTGCCGCCTCTTGGGCCTGAAAGGCTGGCAGCTGTGCCCAGTGGTGGCGGGCAGCGAGGAGCCAGCCCCTGCCTCTGTGGCTCTGAGAGAATGAGCCGATGATTGCATCAGGGGGACTGTTCCTGACAAAACTCTCTACTCCCCAGGGCTATGGCAGGCATGCGAGCCAGCACGTGTGCCCCATCTGCAACATGCGTGCGGTATTCAAGAGTCAATCTGCATGCCACGGGCTGATGGCCAGGGGTGGGAGCCCTCCAGGTCACCGAGCACCGCTCTGACGTGCTAGGATAAGGAACATGAAAGTGAATACAGGATGGAAGCCACGTAGATGGGGGAGGACAAATGGGAACCGGGGCCATGGCAAGGGGTGGGGGGTAGATCAGCGCCTCAGTAGCATTGTAATAGCCAACTCAACCCCTCTCCCTCGCAACACACACACACACACACACACACACACAGCCCATACACATGCTCACGTGCACATGCCTGAGCGCCTCAGGGTCCTGCAGGGCCTGGGCAGGCACCACAGAAAACGTGCCATCCAAAGGGTCCCCACGAGGCCTGTCCCACTAAGGGCAGTGAGTATAAGGGGCAGAATCGGTGGAAAGTGGGCCAAGAGAGAAATGATCCTGCAGAGGGTCTAGGCAGAGTGTGATCTGAGTAATGCATTGCAGTAAATAATGCTGGACTTGTACTCAGGAGGAAGAGAAGTCAGGGGTCGGGGAGCAGCACTGTCCCCTGAGGGGTCCCACATAGGAGGCAATCCTTGCAAGGGACAGGGGAGCAGGGAGCCAAGAGACAGAGGACCACGGCTACTGTGCCAACGTCTGCACAGCACAACGTACAGTTAGAGGACCCAAGATCAAGTCCTGCCATTGGCTGTGAGTGCTCATGGCACATCTTTTCCCCATTGGGGTCTCTGCTTCCTCCTGAGAAATATGGGGACAAGATGTTCCTTCATGAACTCCAAGAACAGGAAAAATAGCTATTTCCACTTTCAAGCCAGGCCTTGTGCTAAGCACTTAACTGTGCTGTTTATACTTCACAACGAATGTCCATGAGACATATGATCATTGCCTGATTTTGCAGAGACATGACATGACTTACCCGTCTGGGATCTGTGTGACTTCAGCACCCTGCCCTGTATTCTTTGGCCTCCACTAGGGCTGGAAGAGCCCTGAGGGAGCCCACATCCCTTACAGATGGGGGAACAAGGCCCAGAGAGAGAAAGCTGCCCTTCTGCAGTCACACAAGTCAGGGGCAGCGTCAGGACAATTCAGAACCCTGACTCCCAGAACAGTGCTCCTTCTCTTACCCTGCTCTGCCCTCCCTCTTTCTGACACTGCAGGGCTGCTTGCCTAGGTCCCAAGGTAGCCAGTAGGCACCAAGTGGGAGGAGGAAATGGTGCCAAGGCCCAGGGTGGGGCTAAGAGCTCTGCCTCTCCAGACATGCCTGGGGCTCTCTCCTGGCTCCTAGGGGACTGGTCATCCCAGCCCAGGGTTCCATAGGCAGGGCCCAGCTCGAAAAGGGCTACCCCTTGCTCAGACCCATCAGACTGGCATACCTGGTCCAGCCTGATGAGAAACAGGGGGCTCGTCTGCCATCTCTGGGCTCCAGTCCCCCAGATCTGTGACCCAACGGGCCACAGCTGCCTCTGGCCTGCCCTTCCTCGCATCCTTCCCCTCCACAGGTGGTGTCAGCATCTGCCTAGTGATGCCAGTCAGGGGCCTGGCCTGACAGAATCCAGACCCAGGTGCCCTGACTGGGGGGAACCAGAGGCAGATAGGGATGGCGGAGGCCATGCTGATTGCTGGACAGAGCAGAAGCCACAGCAAGCAGGCTGAGCCTCTCGCCACAATTCCCAGAGTTCTGGTCACTCAACCAGGCCAGCTGCCAGTGCCCCAGTTAGGCAGGCTTGGGCATTGCTGGGCTGTGGATCAGGTCTCAGGCTGAAGCTTGAGTGGGGCTCCTGGGCTGTTTGCTGGACTCTGGCTTAGGTAGGACTCAACCAGGCAAACTCTACGCCGGGTTGGAGATTAGACTGAACTTCTTTCTCGGGAAACCAGGAGCAGGAGCCCACCACCAGCCCCAGCTGGGCTCTCCATGTTTGAGGCCAGGTTGTCCACAGGGGGTGGGTCTTGGTGCCTAGGGGAGAATAGAAAGGGCTTTTTATGGTCCTGCACTTGTGGCCCCAAAAGTCAGGGGCACAGGAAGAGAAGGGGGGCTGGAGTTGGAGGCTGGGCCATCTGGGACAGGGCCCACTCAGCAGGCATAGGCAAGGCCTCCACTCAGCTGACACAAGCCTGTTGCTGCAGGGGAGCCCTGCCACGCTGGAAGGGCCCAGCCCACACAGCTGGGACAAGCTCCTGGCAGAGCTAGAGTGTCCTGGGGAAGGGGCAGGCTGCGGACAACCCCTCTCTGGAGTATGCTGGGCCTGGGACACCATCCCAGTGGGTGACTTCGTCCGAGTCTCCCTCCTGAGCCAGCACTAGGGCTGGCAGGAATCCAGAGGCCTCAGCCAGTCCTGGCCTCTGCCCACCACGGCCCCAACATCAACATCCTGGAGAAAGAGAAAGGTTCCAGTTGCGGGG